ATTTTTATTCATAAAGCGCCCTCCTAATTAAATCATGCGGAAAAGCGCAGAGGGAGGGCGAGGGCGGGGTTACGATAGAGAGCAAGGTCACTGGCAGAAAGGAAAATACAGAATTACAGACACAGCAGAAGGAGAAAGCTGAACCATGACCAGGACATACTGCAGTTAAGGATACCACAGTCAACTGGACAATCGTTTGCCTATTTTGCATTAAATAAATTAAACTAGACATAATTTATCTTGTCATTGTCATTCAATGTCATTCATCTAATGCACTGTGAATTACGCTCGGCCTTCATACATGCAAGACCAACTGAATGTATCCGAAAAAAACATGTTTCACGTAATAATATATTATATATTATTATTATTGTGAAAGAGTTTATAATTTAAGAGGAACATATAATTTCAAAGTGCCTTTTACTAGAACATCAGAGAAAAAAATTATGGAATCCTATGTGTCGCCATAATATCTATATTTTCTACAAATAATCTAAAAGACAGTCATTTTGTGGATATCAAACAGAAGCATCGTAATATTTATATACAGTTTTGATTACTTTCTTGTGTTGTTTTTAGTTTATCTTGTTGGATAAGCTTGATCTGTTAAGCTAAAGGGAAGTCAGAATGCTTTTTTAAATTTTTTATTTTAGATTTTCTTTGCACTGTCCGAATAAAGACTCATTCTCATTCATATGTCTATAGGATATACATGAAATCACTCATGTACTTTAAGTCATATGAATCAGTTCATGCTCATGCTACAAGGGGCTATACTAATATTTTATAATAATACAATAAAGAGAACAAACTGTTATATTCATTATGGACTATGTTTATTGGTAAAAGCATGACATGTGTTATGTAAGCATACTTTCGTGCTACATGAGGAACCCTTTAATCTATGATCACTGTATCACAGGCTTGATACAGACAACATGGAACGTATTAGTAAATTGTATTAAAACAATCAGTTGCTCGACTTTGTCCTTGAGCGGAGCTTTTAGAATATGAGTCTGCCAGGAGTCAATATTTATTACTGTCTTTATGGAACAATATTAAATACAGATGCACCCCTCTTGAGGAATAGCCAGGGTAGAAAGTACTGTACATGATAATAAGGGATGGCAAAGTTGGACAAAGGGACAAGAAGTGGAGGTATTGGTGTAATTCATATTTAAAATTCTATAATTTATAGAATTAGTCTTAAAGATCTAAAACGATGGACCAATATTAAGCTGGTCATTAAACTGATTATTCAAGGGGAAAGTAGAATTAATTGATAATGAAATGTGAAATGTATGCGTCCCATTTAAAAATTGAAAATAAATCTCTCATTTGAGTTGCCATTTTCAATGTTGAATATGCTCAAAAATATATACACTATATCTTGAGTGATTCTATCCATGCTAAATGTGACATGTAGATTTCTCCTGTGTGAGATCAATAAAGTTTATCTTATCTTATCTTGAATAGTACTAAACACAATACAATACAATACAATTTATTCTTGTATAGCCCTAAATCACAACAGTAGTCGTCTCAGAGGACTTATCAAAACCATTGAAACCACCAACACAGATCAGAGAATCAACAGTTAAAACACAAAAAGAATATAGGGGTGCACATATACGTGCTTCTTTTTAATGCTAAAGTTAAAGCTGCACTAACTGACTTTATTTTTGTATTCATTACGAAAATGCTATCCATGTCCATGCAGTGCATTGGGATATACGTCCTTTTGAAGAAAAATTAGCGCAGATTTGTGCTGGCGTGACATTATATTTTAGATCGAGTTTTGATGAAACAAGGAAGATAATGTGTTTTGGGTCGCAGATTGTGACCAATCACAGTGGACCGCTAGCCCCCACTTTTGTGAGAAACCTACAGGACCATTAGCATAGACGGCTGAGTCAGCACAACAAACCGAGGAGCTAACCTGAAGCTTCCTTGTCTTCGTCACCGGTTACTGCTTACACAGCGAAACAGCCATCCAAAAGAAAGTCCCGTTCCTCCGCGCTTCCCGGTTCTATCGTTCTATGGTCACGCCATCCACGTGCAAATCCATATCCATGTATTATCCATATTGGGAGACGCTAGCTTTGTCAACAACAGCGGTGTGTGTGGGGGGCGATAGCTTCGTGGGTGCGGGGAGGGGAGCAGAAAGAGCGAGGCCAGTGAGTCCGCGGCTTCAAAATCGCAAAGTCAGTTAGTGCAGCTTTAAGATCAGCTCAAAAAATCCACTGAATCCACACATCACAGGGCTCTTTCTTGAAAAAATGCAAAAAAAAAAAACAATGTTCTGTTTGATTTGTTCACAACATTTTACTTTTGGGCACAACCGACATTATTATGCATTATTAATGCAAGGGAAAATGTAGGTACCACAGCTTTCATATAAAGACACGGAGAGGACATGGACTCTCCTGTAGGGCTCCATAGTCTAGCTCTGTTTCTTGCAGTAACGCAATATGTACAGTATTTCATTATTTTGCATTACGCAAAGACATACACTTGCAACAATCAGAGAATGGTATGCGCTGGGTACATTATGACCACGCTCGCCGCGTTGTTGTCAAGGAGCCGCTGTCATTACAAAGCGGCCGGAGTGGCTCTAGAGTCAGAACGCTGCTGCCACGGAGGATTTGGAATCTCGTTAGTGCTGGACTCCACCGGCCGCGTCTCTGTTTACGCGCGTGGGCTACTGCCCGTCAGACGTGCGCAAAACAAAATAGTGGCCACACCACAGCCGGCGCGGCTTTGGCTGTGCGTTTATCAGCAAAGCTACCCAAACAAAAAAAAGAAGCGGTGTGTGATTTGCATGAGCTGTGGCTTTGATCTATGCAAAGCATGGCACTATTGAAGCATCAAAAACGTTGCGATGGATGATGCAAAACTTATTGATAGCAATTGGTAAAAAAGGGGAGGAGAGAGAAAGCTTTTTTGAAAGCGAGTCAATAATGACATTACGCAAAAAATAAACAGCCTAGTATGTACAGCAAACAGCAGCAAGTGTCCAGCGATCACGCACACCCTTTCTGGCATTGCACCACGCCCCTCTAGGGACTAGCGCCCCGCTATTTGAGAAGGACTGGTCTATGTGAAGTACATAAAGGCGCTTACTAACGCATTTCTGATATTTGTTGCGCATGCGTACCTTCGTACCACTTATGTGCACCCCTGAATATAGCACACATGTTGATAATTGTCCATACATGTTGTAGAATGTAGTGTCCTGAATCATTACCACAGTCCTTATTGTTAGACACTAAAAACTCATAACCCAGGGGGAGAAAAGTGAGAAACCTCGGGTAGACCCACATATGGAAAGAGGGATCCGCTCCACACGGAATGACGGGCTGTAGATCCAGGACCTAAGCTACATAACATGGACCAGGGCCACGCAGCGGCTGCAGAAAGTGGACTGGTGCGGTGCAGGACTGAAGCACACATACTCTATCACATGTATTCACTTTCTTCTATTCAGTGTATGTACCTGAAGTGGGAGACATGCGCAAGTACTGTATATGAGAATCACTCCAGAGCAAAGGATCTTTACATGCTGTATGTCAATGCCTATCTTGTCAACTCTGGAGTTTCATTGTGTAATACGGCCTGTGTGAAAGGGTTAACACTAATATCCGTCCAGACTGACCCTGCTGCTGGTATTATTCTCCTCACATGAATAATGGAACCCAATATGGAGTAGGTGATAGCTGCGAGCATCCACAGTAAACTGGTATAACTTCACGCACGCACGCACGCACACGCACACGCACACGCACACGCACACGCACACACACACCCACACACACATACCTAAGGTGAATCTTAACTGTCATCGCCAATCCCTCCAGACTTTGAGACTCAAAGAAGAAAAACTGTGCCCAGAGAACAGAGGGTGTCTTTGGGGAAAACCTGAAGCTGGAGTGGGGGGGTCCTTGTGTGTCGAAATGACAAGGTCTGCAAGAGATTTAGCCTAAATCTAATCAATAATGCAGCACTTAGAAGCCATGACAGAACAACATTTTCATCCACTGCTGCTGTTTTTATTCAAGCCTTTAATTCTTGTTGCTGGAGCTGTGCCAAAAATTGAAAGATTACAATATCCATTTTGCTTAATCTAGATGATCAACATTAATAATTGACGGACAGAACATTGAGATCGATACATTTTTCCAGATTGACCAGGCCTAACTGTCGTTTTTCATCTTTCTCAGTTGTTCTTATAATATTCATTGTCAAAAGAACTTTTATTCCTTGGCAATGTTTGCAAAATCATTTTAATTTGCTAAATTTGTCATCCTAATAGAGTTGATGTATTATTCAAACAGCCATCCTTCGTTTTAATAGAATTTTGGGGAGATTAATTGCCCACTGCCTAAAATGTTATGGCAATAGAGAGCAACCAAAAAGACTAAATCTAATCATTGAAATATGAAGGAATGAGAGTGCATTGATGCGCAAGCCATTTCACTAAACAAATGAACATCATAGCCACCTGTTATTATGGTTTATGAGCCAGTGTCCTTTAAGATATGACAGACACTCTTCTGTTCATAATCACTCAACATACTATTCTGTTCAGTTTTGTCAAAACCTTTCAATATATATTTGGACAGTCTGTTGAACATTATTTTGCTCTTTTGTTCTGCCCCTTCAGTACGAGCACGGGGCAAAACTGCACACTAGAGCTCATGGTGTGTGTTCTTCTTTTCTGTCTTGAGGCCTATGCAATGCCAGGCACATACTTTTCCCATCAGGGCCCCGTAGACATGAGATGGGGAAGTGCTCTCATCTCTTGTCAAACAAAAGGAAGCAGCCAGAAAATGCAACGTCGAATAGGGTGCGTCCAAAATGATGAAACCTTGTTAGTCTGAGAAAATGAGGCTGTATGCTGTTTGTTTTCCAAACACGACTCGCCAATTAACATTCTACAAAATAACAGTGTAGAACAATGCAGAGGGAATGTTTCCTCATGTCTGATCGAGCAGGATTTCATGACATCACTGGAGAGACTTAGGTGAGACCAAACCTTGGAGGATGAGAATTATAAATATAACATGTTTTACATGTTTATAGTTTTACCTGCTTCTTGTTAGTTGCCCCAGTTCTTCTATCTCCAAGTTTTTTACAAATTCCATATTTTGTTTTTGTTACCAAGATTTTGTTTGAATATGAAATGTATTATTTATTATTTGTATTGCACAAATTTGTATTTGGTATTCCAGCAAGTGGTTCTTTGGGTCCCGATTGGGAAGTACAATGATCTGACGAGACAGAAACCAAAAAGCAACACATTTAAGAACCGTTTCAAGACCACATGAGTGCCTTCACACAAGACCAAGAAAATGTATAGATGATAATTGAAGGACTATACCTTTGAAGATGGAAGGATGATAAAACCCCACAATCTTCACTGGCATTCTGTATTTCAGAAGTTCTAACAGTACATGAGTTAAAATAGGTGTATGTTTCCGCCCTGCACAGCCTTAATCTCTTGTAATTAGCGTTTGGACATGTGCTCATACAGCTGTTGATTAGCCGTATACATTTTCTCTGCGGTGGGAAGTGTGTCCACATTGAACCTGACTGGCAGCGCTCGGCCGTGATTAGCTGCTCTGATATTTCATACATGTCCTCCTCTTGCTGTAATTACATTGTGCTTGGTGAACCCTGTGTGCCTGTCAGCTCTGCTTCTTACAAACAACACTAATAGAGTTAAGGCCGCCCGCTTGTGTAGTGTCAGAAAGGGTTTTGCTCATATTCTGTAGCGATCGGCTCAGGTTGATACATGTGAAGAGAACAAGCCTGTTTCGTCAGTGTTGCACTCATGTGCACAGTGTCACATCATGGTTTCTTTTTTTGTTGTAGGTCAGTATTTTCTATTAAATATATGTTAGTCATTGGAAATCTGCATAAGCTTCCATTACATGTATATATGCTTCCAACGAGAACTGCATATGGCTCACATATGATTGTCAGATCCATCTAAACATTTCGGTGGTCACAGATAGACTGCTTTGACCCACCTTTTCACATTCAACTTTTGTCAATACCTACTTCCTACCAGCACTGTACTCATTTTTTATTGGGGGCACAATTGTTTTCTTGTTTCTGAAAGAAAGTAAAATTACACAAGTAAGTCCAGATTTGATCGAGAGATGACAGGTGATTCCGATTGAGTCTGAAATCACATAATCAACCATAATGGCTGAATGTTACTGTCTTAAATCCTGAATATTTACAACACTCTACACAACCAGTTTTTAAGTGTAGGCTAAAGCATGTCTCATTAACTCATTAACTCATAAATTAACTTTATGAGATAGAAAACATTACATTTGCATTTCAAAAATATAATGTGCAAAAAAATAACTAAAGAAAATATTCAATTGCTGTTCTCTATCTACAGCTTTTTTTTTCACTATTAGTAATGTAAGAAAATTAATTTCATGTTGAGTTTTTGAATATGAATGAAGCACATTACCTTTAGTGAAGTATATTTGAACGTTATCTCACTTCTTTCTTTCAGCACCAGTGGCTTTCTCCTCAGTGGATCCATGCATTGCAGCATGTATAGTACCAGCTATATTCCTGACAGATCTTGGTGTCTTTGAAGCTCTTCAGTCCAAATTGTTTCCCTGATCATAAATGTCACTTCATCCCCTGCCTCTCTCCATCTCCTTTTATTTGCTGCCTTTGTTCGGTAATTGTCTGGGTGTGTTTACCGTGTGCCTGTGTGTGCCTGCCATAGATCAAATGTTTTCTTGGCGCTCCCTGTTTGACTCCCTACATCCTCCAGCTTCTTGGAATACCATCAGTAATGTGTGTCTGTATATCTTTGTGTGTCTGTGCAGAGACCTAAGTGAGAATCAGATCCAGGCTGTTCCCAGAAAGGCTTTCCGCGGGATCACCAACGTCAAGAACCTGTAAGTAGCATATACCTGCTCTTTTCCAGGTCTCTCTCATGTACTTCCTATTCCAGTCTACCCCTTATTCACAAAGTACTGTGTTTCTTCTACGAGCTGCCCAGTCTACTTTAGGCATGTCAAGTAGCTGTCATCATCGAAGAAAAACAACATATTTTCTCTATAGACCCCTTAAAAGTCTAAATAGGCATAACAGGATTCTATGATTGAGAGAGATTGTATTCAGTATTAAAATTAATTTACTCTGTTTAGTCTGAATAGTGTACTCTACAACTCTCGTCCAACAAAAAATCTGTGGTGTGGCGTTCTGTAAGCTAAACTTAGAAGCTAAGAAGGTTCATTTATTTCACTTTCAGTATGTGCAGTCTTTTAATGTCCACTTTGTATATTAATGTATTGTCATAGCATTGAGAAGGAAACATATCCTGACGGAATGCTAGTGAAACACACAATGTTAAATACACATCGGTCTTTCTGTTGTCTTGCAATACAAACTACTTACCTTACACCTTTCGCTCGCTCTCTGTCTCCGGAGGTTTTGTCCCAGCATCAAGGGCTCGATAGCTCGCTGTCATTTATTCATGACGTCCTAATCACCAATAATGTGATCGATGGGCTGCCTGATCAATGCCCCTCATCAATAACACACAATCAATGCCCCCTGATGCTGCAGAGAAGAATCCGAGCAGACTCATGGGATGGAGCTTCACGTTCTATGCCAAACAAGTCGATGCAAATGGACAAAAGATGGTTAAATTCAGAAATACAATGTTCTGAATTGAAAGAGGTTGAAAGAGGTTGAAAAACTTGTGTAAATAAGTTAGTGGGCTACAGGAGATTGTCACTCATAAAGTGTTTACTGGGTGGTTTTCTCAATAAGGCTGCCAAAGTGTAAAGAAGATTATTACTCTTGGGTTAAATGGAGCTGAAAGGGGGTTATACTGAGTGCAGTGCAGAAGAAATGAACAGGTGCTGCTGGATCAGGTCCAAATCTTAAGCTCAGGTCATAGTGAATGTGTCTAACTCACTTGGCCTCATCACAGTGGATCAACTCAAACTATACAAAAGTATAGTCAGGAGCACGTCTCGCAACACGTCCATCACTCACAGGTAACTGAAACACGTTGTACCTTCTGAGTCCAGGGCAGCATCTTCAGTGCTCAATGGTGTGAGTAATGTGAGCATTCGATGACCTGCTAAAAATATGGTCATGTTGTAGGAACATTTAATGGAATGGACATAATGTTACATGATCTTATATTGGGGGTGTCCAAACCTGTCCTCAATTCCTCCAGTTAGTTCAGTATTAACCTGAAGATTTGAGGAAATTGCTCTGCTCCTGCTTGGTCTGAAAAGACTGCATTGGAAATGTATCTATTGTTTTGATTATGAATTCTTAATATGTAAAATTGCAATGTTTATTGTTTTATCTGACAAAACTTTAGCCCTGTAACAATGTATCAGTTAATCTGGAAATATACCAATTGACCAAAATTTTAGAACCACTTGTGAAAAATCATATTTTGCCATGTTGGATCTTAACAAGGTTCCAAGAGGAGCTTCAATATGCAACAAGACAAAATGGATGTGTGATCCAAATGAACTGAAACAGAGAGTTTTACAGCTTAAACATGTGCAAAAATGTGGATTCAGTGACAGTTTCCATCATGTAATCACATTATAATGACGTTCTGATGCAAAGGAAAAAAATGTTCCCCTTTTGAACGTGGTCGGGTATTTGAACGGCATAAGCTTGGTCTCCCACTGTGCGCCATTGCTGTTGAGGTGGCACACAGACAGTTATTTGGAATGTCTTAAATCAGTGGTCACCAACTCCCGATACACTGACGGGTACTGGACACTGTATCTTCTGGAACTGGGCGACACGGAAAGAATTAATAATTTTTGTTTATGACCAAATTCTCTCCTTACATCATGGTCACCAGACATCAGAGCGATGAAATGTAAACAGAAATGTTCCTCCGCCATGCGTTGCACAGAGGCTCGTAATGAAGTATTACAAATTCTGTGATGAGAATGTATGAGGCGCCCATGGGCACTGATTTAAGATGAAACCGTGATGACACAGCCGCGGCAGAGCTGAGGTCAGAAACCGACGGGAATAACAGTTTATCTGAATGCATTGCGTTTGGATGCAGGTCTGTGTAGTTACTGTATTGTCTGACGTCAAACGATTCTGAATGGTCCTGAGGGTCATGGAACGAAGCAAGTGAAATGGAAGATACAGTATATGACAAATAAATGACACCAGAAATGAGCCGGAGGATCAATGGGCTGTCGTCAACCCAAATGAAGCCTATTACTGGTGTAGCCTGCAGCCCAATAACCATCAGACATTTTAGTTGTGATTTTCAATAAATTACGTACCCCCCATATTTTTGTTTTTCCCTATTTTTTAGACTTTCATGTAGACTAACATTATTTTAATTTGGATAAATCTGGTCTCATCAAATGATATAAATTCTTTTCAATTAAGTTTTCTTAATAAAGAAAAAGATTATTTACCATTTATGTTTAATGGTGATAATTATTGTCTGACTACCAGACCTTTTTCAGATCGGGGTAGTGCGTTCTGCTGTGTTTTCAGGGGATTTGACCTAACTTTGAAGAGCCACAAAATATTCAGTTATTTGAATATAAACGACAAGGATCAAATCAAAGATTAGGCTCTAGCTTTAATCTACAGAAACATTGTTTGTTTTTACCTTTTACCGTTCTTGCGCAATCTGTCATAGAACATAGTATAAAGAGTTTCACCCAAAACACTTTGACAAACCCGGATATGATAACAGGCCACTGCGCCGAAAGGCTGTTACATAACCACTAGACCACCATCCTATACTGCGTTCGATTGGCCCCAGGAAGCTTTTTCAACTGTCAATGAGGAATCAGACAAAAAGTTTTTATCGACCTTCAAAGGCATCTCCGATAGAAATAATTGTTTTATTCTTTGTTTTGTCATTAATGATATGAGAATCATAACGAGACTGTTTTTAGTACTGCGGCCACCAGTGAGATTTGCTCCAAACGGTGAGTTCTGGCAACCCGGTCTACGGACTTTCAGACTGGTGAAACGGTGGAGAGCCGGACATCAACATGAAAACAATAACAAGATTTACAAGCTGTAAAACTACATTTTTAAATTCAAATATCTCGGCTGAACTACTGTTCACAGTTAAAGAAGTATTTGAAAAGAGCATGATTTACTGTATGAATGCCTTTTGATGGATTAGGGCCATTTAATGATGACTTGACATGCAATTCTTACATATTGTTTTTTGAAAGTGAATTGTTTAAAAAATGCTAAATACATTTATTGCCAATATAATTGTTTGTTTCAGCTCTAGTTTACATACTCCTCTTGAGTTTTTCTCTACGTTTCTCCTGCCCTTCATTTCTCTTTAATTCACTTCCACTTGCTGCCAACGTCTTATCAATCAAAACTGACAGTAAAATGGCCAGTGTGTTCAGTTAAAATGTTTTCTGCTAGATTGCTTTGACCTACAAAGTGAGACATCCTACATTTGGCTCTGGGGAGGGGCTGAAATTAGGAGTGACTCAAGCATATAAAATCATTCAATTCTCCTACAGGACCATTAGTGTTTAAAAGCACCTTTTCCTTCTCCTCTGTGCTGTGCCTTTGCTTAATCTGATGTCAGCATTTATATACTTTTCAAGATATCTAATATTTTTGTTGTCTATTGTTACTAAAATTCAGGTTTTATCTTTTTGCTATCATCAAAACGTTGCTTATTGAACAGGTATGGTATTTATGCTCAGTAAACTCCTCATGTGATGATCAATGGCGTTAAAGCAGGAAAATCACAATTATACTTCATATTTCTGGCCTGCAGAGTGGTCAGCTGAATTCACTCTTTTCACAATCTGTGTTGTACGTCTTACAGTGACTTTCTGCAGCAGATCCTCTATTTATCCTCAATTTATGATTGAATAGGTGCTACTAAAATTGGATAACATACTGAAGAAGATAAGCCGCGTTTCCATCGCAGGAGTTCTTGGTAAAAGGAGCGGGGTGGAACTTTTACAGGAACCTTCCTCCCCCTCGGTCCTCTCAGTGTCCGTGTCTCCACTGCAGTAGGACCACTCGGCGACGTCATATGAGCTTCGATTGCCGCATAAGCAAAACTCATTACGCCAAACCCGTTTTTATTATAGATACATATGCCAAACCCATTTGTTTTTTAAAAAACTTTTCACGTCTTGTTTTGGAGTGTGATGAATCCCCAGTGCTTCGAGGTGAAGCTGATATGTCTTAATATAGCTTTTCATTTCGCCGCGATGCCTCAAACCCTGTCTGAATCAATGCCGTGCTGTTGTTCGCTGTTTCCAGTGGGGTCTGCTGGGCTAATGCTGCTGGGCTAATGCTGCTGGGCTAATGCTGCTGGGCTAACACCGCTTGTTTTGCTGCCGTCTGAGCGGTCTGAGCCTGCGCTAGCTTTAGCTAATTAGCACCGGGTTAACCTCAAGTCCCACCAGGGCCCAACGGAGTACCTAGCATGGAGGAGGGACTCTGTTGGGCCCCGTAAAAGTTCCTGTAAATGGCCCTGAGGGGAAAGTTTCTGCTGTGGAGACACACACCGACGGGGCTGGCCCTGGAAACTTTGCAGTTTTCCCCAAAGTTCCTGCGTTGGAAACGCGGCTATAGTGAAACTAAAACAACTGAATCTAAATATGTTGAATAAGCTCCTTCAATATGCTTGAATCGTGCATTATGCTCGTATAGTAATTTAATTTCTTATACACCCTTATTATACTTGTGGATTCAGTTCTAAACTATGAGTGCACTTCCTGTGTCCTGCACCCTACATGCCCTGTGGATTTCCTCCTCGTTCACTTCCCCAGTCTCCTCCATTGCTCCATCGTTCCCTCCATCAGACAAGGTGACTCTTGCAGTAAAAGGCTCAGCCTCCATTATAGCAGCCAGTGAAAAAAGCCTTCATGACATTCGGTCCCAAGTGGACACAGCATTGATTTTCTCATATGTCTCTGTGCCTGCCCCACCCTGCCTCAATCCCTTCAACTCACTGCTCTGTCCAAAAACCCCTTCTCCACCAACCAACATCAGAAAATATATAGATCATACTCTTATAGAAGCTATAGGTCATACCTTTTCGGGAGATTTACACTTTATCTATATCTAGTATTAAAGTTATTATAGCCGAGCTTGTCATCACCAATTTCACAGATGTGTTGTACTATAGTGGAGAGGTAACATTTGTCAAACGTGAGCATGCAATGATATCCATTTGTGAAATGTGAAGCTCTATAATTTTATATATTTGCAATATTTGCAGCAATGCCTAACCTGTTTTTTAAGTTTGAATATATCACATAGCAATAATATAAATGAAAGGCTCTTTAGAATATATTTTACGAAGAACTTAGTTACTCATATGATCAATTTCAGTAAACTAACACCCAGACAAAGTATGAATCTATAGCAGACCACCCCTCAGTGGCTTGTGGCTTCCCATCTTCACACACACCCACCTGCTTGCACACGGATCACTATCAGATTGAATGCTTTGCTCAATCTGCCAAGAAGCTGGCATATACAATTACCCAAGACCCATGCTAACCTAAGTCGACAGTTGTGCCATACTACATCCTCAGTGTCTGTTTGTGTGGACCCCTGAGCCCCCTCTATACATATTGCTGACTTCTGATCCTGTCGGCTACTCCAAACGGGCCTGTCTGTCAATGTGGGCGAAAGGAGGTGAATGTACTGTGATATAATTATACACTGATCGCAAACCTTACTGAAGTTAATCTCATGCCATTGTCTACTACATAATATTATCTGTTCATGTCCGCTCCACTCATGTCACGTCATCTGAAGAAGGCATTATGCTAACAGCACCTTTTCTTCTAACTGCACACCTCTGCATGCATACACTCCATGCTCACCACTCGCAGAACTGTTTCCTCTTCACCAGTATGTATATAAAGTATGTATGTAACATGGAATTTCTTATCGTGTTTTGACATTTTTAAGTTTTTTGTTATATTTAAATAATTTATATCATCAAAATTGGTTGTTTTTTGGCCATTGCGTATAATCTGAATTTTATTTCCAAAAGCTCTCTGTGTCCCCCATTGTATCAGAATTGGCGCACCAAGCTATTATTATTTTTTCAAGCCAATTTACTCGTCCCTTTATTTTGCGTCATCATAATACTCCTCGTCCTCAGTCAGGCTGACTCCTCCACTCTTTTTTAGTGTGCTAAGAGTTCATTTCTCCCTCTTGTGTCCACCCATGCTCGACATCCTCATTGTAGCTTTTGGTGTTTGTGAGAAAATGCAATATATGTGATTTGTACCAATATTACAAGTGTGTATCAAGTTCCAGGGAATGAAATGGATTCCACCCCATGGCTTTTACCTCTTCAGCGCCCTCCTTACCTTCATTGTCTCCTCTTCCTCATAAAACGTCTCCATGCTTCATGCTCGCCTACCCACAATGCAGTGCAGCCGGGGCCGTTTGTTTGAGTTATGGCCACCGCGCCTTAGAGAGAGGTGAGAACATTGTGTCGTCGGAGCCGCGCCGTTGTGCTGCAAATGTCCCCCACAACCAGTTTTTATGCACAACTCAAGCATCACGCAGTTAAAGGCAGGATACATCACTCTGAAAAGCGACAGGGAAAACGCAGATTAAAAAATGTGTTTATTTGAGGATGATAGAAATTCAGAAGAGCTATGGCTAGTGTTCCATTAAAAGAGCACACAAGAAGATAATGACTGGAAGAAGGTTTATTACACTGTTGATATTTGTCTTCGACTTAAGACTGGTCTTAAAACAGCCATCACCGATTGTCACTCATTGTAGAAAACTTGCAAGAGACACAATACGCATTTTGTTATGTGTCAAATGATTTGTGAAATATAATGTCAGACTTCTCATATCTGCACATATAATGCACTTCTAATATCTCTTGTTCATTTCTTTGTTTCCAGTTCAGTTTATCTTATGAAAGCACAGACCCGTTACTATGAATTACTGTTTCATTTTGCCAAAAACATAAATGTATCCTGTTTTAATTATTGGCATATTTGTCCATCCCTCTGAAATGTTATAGGGGATTGTATCCTCTTTGTGTGCACCATGGTAACAATTCAGAATATGTCCATCCAGTTTAATGTAGTCTTAATTATGCATTCAGCATTTATACTAGAAAGCCTCTCTGACAAACGGATTTGATCATTTCATCTGAATATTTAAGCCGTTGAACTCATTTTAGGCAATAAAGCATAAATTTATGGAAGTGTAGTGGATACATGCGGAGCCAGAGCGTCCGTCTTATCCCTTCATTCATTCCTGAGTCAGTAGTAGATGCCCATAATGGACTGCTGCATACACACACACACACCCACAAACACACACACACACGTACACGCTGTCATCTTGTGTGTTCTTCACAGACGGAGGCATTGACTCAATCTGCCACAGACTATAACAGACAGGATAAAACTAACTCACTAATTATATAGACAATTTCATTTTCACTCCTCTTCAACTGCCTTCCCAACACCCTGAGTCTCTGCATGACTGAGACCGTGGACCAGCACTGAGGTATAGTCTGATACCAATCATGTCTGCGCTAATCAGCTTGTTGGTGAACAGAGCTGTCTGAGGAGCCAATCACAGCTCAGCGATAGAATCATTTACTGTGGAGTGCGGCTCAAGATGAAGAACATGATCGGCAATACCAATGCACCACTTACTTCCATTTGAGTTAAATGACAAACGTGAGCTTTCTGAGTGTAACCATACCCTTGAAAACTATCTGAAAAGAATCAAACGTCAGAATATAAGAGGGTGAGTCAAGACACTTTTGTCAAATAAAAGGTTAAGATAAGACAAGCAACTCAGATGTATGTAAGTAGTCTCTGGATAATTTGAAATGAAATAGCTTGACTGCTTTAAAACAAACAACCCAACTGACTTAATTTCATTATGCAAGAAAACACGGCAACAACCAACAGCCATATGTTTTGTAATTCGAATAATTTCTCTATACATTTGCTCACTTTCACTTTGTTAGATTGCACTGCCTGCTTTTGCACACTTTTAATGATCATCGGTCCATCTGTACAGTCACACTCATTTAATCAAGTGCTACATGGGCAGCTAGTAACAGGTTATACGAGCCTTAACTCAAATCTTTAATTGCCTGGCATCAAAGACGATGAAAGCACCTCATCCGTCATCTGCAGCCTTTACAAGCCCAAAAATAATGATGTTTCAAAGTGGAGCTGACCTCTGGGAATGGGATTGTTATTTACTATATCCAAATAAATGCATGTCAAACAAGTGCAGCTGGTTAGTAACAGGTAAGAATTCATGCAGAAAAAAAGGTTCTGGATAATCTGGTTTGTAATAAATTGGGATTAATATATGAACAATTTTCTGTTTTGTGTGCTCTTTCAAATGGTTCTACACAAGTGACATGTGCATTTATTCAGTTATCCTTATCATGAACATTACGTACGTTGCCTAGACTTCTTATTTTCAGAAAGCCTTAAGTTGACACGACTAAAATGGATTAGCAATGGATAAGGTAAGAAGAATCCAAAGGCGAAGGCAAAGCCGAGAAAAGAGAATGACAGTGTGAGGGGAAAAAATGGATTATGAATGGGCAGATGTTAGGAACATTAAAAAAGGTGTCTGATCGATGGGCTGAGACAAAGAGAGGAGGAACCTAAGACAGACTTTCAGGAAAGGACGGATTATGACAGAGGCAAGATACATGAGATGGAATTTCTGCTTTTTATTCACCACTGTCTGAGAGGAGAACCCTAACTCGGTATGCAGCGGCGTCACACAGGACCTTTATGATGTGTGTGTGTTGCACCTGTCTCTGTGTGGAGCGGCCTAAATGCCACTCGGCGCATCTCTACGTGGTTAACTTGTGCCCTTTGTGGTGCTCTGTGTGCAATCTGTCTACTGGGACAAGATGAAGAGTGGCATATAGGACTTGAGCTTTGGGGTGGTTGGGTTCATCAGTGGTTGGAGAAATGGGATGGGCAGAGCAAATTAAAGTAAAAGCCTACGATGGATGGGACAGGATTGCGGGTGCATGTGGGAGCCCAGTGAGGGAACGAGGGAAGAGGAGGAAGGAAGGAAAAGAAGGTAGGGGACAGGAAGAGCGTCGTGACTGGAGGCTTGATTTACGGAGGCTTTCCTTTTAATGAAATTGTTTCAGTGACAGAGCCGGTAAAAGGCCCTTAATGGATTGGCTGGCCTAATGTAATGAAATTACTCCCTCTTTCACTACGCAGAGAGGGGGAAAAAGAATAAAACCAGAGGACATTGGAAGGGGGGAGGAGAGGAGGAGAAAATGCAATTAATATTTACAGAAGAGACAAGTGGGGTGGGCTGCTGCTGTGTGTGCTCTGAGCTGGCCACTGCTGGCTGGGCATGCGGCAGGGGAGTGAGGTGATAGGCTGAAGCAGGAACACTTCAGCACAGCTCTCCCTACTGCACTCTCCCCCATCCTGTCCTCGGGCAGCCGCTCAGGTGAGATCACCCATAGCCACTTAGCTTTCGCAGCTAAAGGTTTCCCCAGTGTGAAACTGCTTAGAGTAAGAGGAGTCCCATACCTGCTCAGCCCGGCTGCCTCTCTCATTCACAGTGCAGTCTTACAGATAGTCCCTCCCCTGAGCGCCTCCGCGGACCTGACTATCTCTCTCTTCTTTCGTTTGTGTGTCTGTGTGTGCGCTGCAGGCAACTGGACAGCAACCACATCAGCTGCATTGAAGATGGAGCTTTCCGAGCGCTGCGCGATCTGGAGATTCTGTAAGTAAAGAAGGCTTTCCTCTCTCTCCTGTGTGCCTCTTGTTGCATTTCTGAACCAGGGCAGTCCTGAGCTATTCCTCATTTGGTTTATCTACTTTTGTATTTATCTTATTTTATCTCTTCAGCTCTCTCTTCCATTCTATTTTGTGTTCATGTTCAGTTATTGTCTTTCCACATCAAATGTTTTTTCTGGATCCAATTCAAAAAAGTTTGCTTCCATTTGTGTAATGTCATTTTCATGATAAAGTGTCAGTAGTAGCATTTTAGAATAATGATACTAGAAAGTAGCATGTTGATTCGTGACCAGTGAGTGTGTTGCCCTTGAGATTAAACAGACAGACACAATCAGAAAGTGTGGTAGGCGTTGTGTGCCACCTGCTGAGAGCAGAGCTGTCTGTGAAGCTCTGATGGTCCAGATGTACGCACCCGGACACGCGGCTGTGATCAAGTCTCTCATTTGTCATACAGTCCTGCTGAAGCTGCTGCAGCTCTCCACTTGTTGTGTATGCTGCCGCGCAGCGTCTGGCACATGTGGATTAATGTGTCCGCGGGGGACACTTCCTGTTACACAGAAATACTTGCAGTTTTCGGCACCTGACAAAACTAGACCAGAGCATCTATTACCAGGTGCCTACAAGCTGCAGTAATTTTTCTCTCTATGTTGGAATGAGAGTGATGTTCATCACAATATTGTAAAAGATGAGAAGTAATGTAATGCAATGCTGCTTTACAATGACAGTGTAGCTGTAAAAAGAACTTTACTTTGCCATTTGCACAGTGCCCCAGGCTTATTGTTCTGTTACAATGAGGCTTGTTTATTTTTCTGGTGAAAATTAAAACTTAACTGCTGATTAATAGCTTGTTTTCAGATGAGGAAAAGCATCTCAAAGCAAGTAATCTCGTTTTGCTAATTCTACATGTACACCATGTTGAATCCCCACACTATGTAAATGGGAATCCCAATAGCACGTGGCTGGTGCAGTGTAGCCTCGATGAATGTGTCCACAATAAATGATTAAAGAGTTGAGAGTCCTGGAGGAAAGGCACCAGTAGAGGGCCGTGAACGCTACAAAGAATACCTCATTCTACAACATTCTTTTATCTCCTCACAATAAGTTCGTCAGAATATCCTATTTGTATCATGCAGTATATGTCTGTGTTTATATTAGTATCAATTCAAAAGACCATCTACAATGAGTCTTATTTGCTTTTTCCTTTTCAATTCCTTTTGGCAAACTTGGCTTTTCTTATTCCAATGCCTTGCTTTCACTCAGTGCACAATAGAAGTGATAGGGGGCAGATAGCGGTGGATCAGCGGTGCAAGATACAACATATTAGCAATTCATAAGAGTCTGACAGCTGAGTGCTTGGCCCGATTTACAATTCACTGTAAATACGGAGCCATTCACACCGACATTGACGGCACATCGTATATCCAGCAGAGATGACGTTTTAATAAAGCCAGGTGTGCTTGTGTGTGTGTGTGTGTGTGTTTGTCTAAGGCCACTCTGCTGCTGAGCTCATCTTCATTTGGACTATCTCACACACACACTTGCATTAAGATTGAGGCACCCCATCTGTTCATTTCGGGGGTTGATTTCGTGACTGTGTTACCAAACGGGACAATACAGTGATCCCTGCATGGTCACATGACTGCACCAGCAGGTAGCACTGTGGCCATATGTGGAGAGAGGAGAGGCTGCTTCTTCATTATGACCTTGAAAGTTTGGCTCTTTCAATGGAGGGAATTTAGTGAGATGTCATATCTCTGTAGTCTGAGGTTTCTTGACCAAAGTGTTGGTAAAAAATACTCAGGAACATGCGCTTTGAAACTAGAAAGTAAATGGTTTTTTTGCGCAATTGGATCAAAAAGGGTTTCCCAGCTCAAGATCGTGCATTCTATTTCTTAAACTGTATTTTTATTTCTGTTTTTTTTATCTAAATCTATTCGTCAAATATAGTAGACTTTCAGAAGGTCATCATATTCTTTATCGTAATAAAATTATTGATATTCACAAACAGTATTCATTCTGTATACCACTACAAGTTAAAAGGGTTAAGTTATTCATGTTGGGTGTTCTCTGTCGCATCCTGTAGTCCACGCAGTCGGGTGTCATCTTTGGCCTCTCTGTCTCTGTGGAATTGGTTCGTGTGTGTATCATGCTAATTGAAAGCAGTGCAGTGCTGCGTGCGTGCCGCTAATGAATCTCCACATTAATGAATCTAGTCATTTTTAATTAGCTACTGTTTGGTGCCAGGCTGGGCGTTATCTGGGCTTGGTTAATGCGTTTGGTGGGAGCGGCACCGGAGAGGAGGAACCATGCAAATATGGGCCAGAGAGTTCGTTTGTATAATAAATTGGTTTGTCTTTGTTAGTTTTATTTTTTGTATTTGAATCATAACGAGAAGTGACAACGTATTTCTTATTGAAATGTTTTATTGCCTCATTCATTTAGATTGCCATATTACGGGTTAGAAGATCATGCTTGGGATGATCACTTAATCACTCAATCACTTAATAAACTCAGCCAAAACGCCTCTTCTATGCACTGAAATTATGCGTTGATGAATGAATATAAGAATATAACTATATTTCGTTCAGTGAAGTCCCATAAAAATGTGGTTTTATATATTGCGCCATGAATTCCGAATCTCCTTAGCGTGATATCATTGGTTCTACGTCTTAAAATAAAAAAAACTGCAATCTCAAGGGCCCAGATGAGGAATAGCAAAATATTAGTTGAACCGTAAAAAAAATTGCAACTCAGACCAATATAAGATAGTCATTTTGTAACATAATCAAAGATGTTTATAGTACATTGTTGTCAATATTACATTAAGTTCAAAGGGTCCGAATATTTTTTTTAAATTTATATTCTTGAGTTATGAAAGATAGAAACGCCTATATTGATAAATTTAGCATACAACTCATATCACATTATTTAATCCCATTTATTTTTGCATATCCCTTAATCACATTTTGCCAACAAGTAATTAGAGAATCTATCAATTAGAACACAGGAAATTAAATAGTAAGTAATACAAAGGAGCCATTGGTCCATAGGCAGAATGTCCATAAATGCTTGTCATTTTGTCTTGAGAGAAAATTCCAACAAATTAAATAATCCAGAATCCTTAATTTGCCAGATTTAGAAAGGCTGAACCAGTTTTGTCTTCTTGATCGCTTATTAACACTTGCATCGTTCCAGCTCCGGGTCTTTTAAGATTCTAGATGAACAACTTAAAAGTCCCTTCCGATGGCTTTGATATGGCTCCCCCTAGTGCGTTGGTTGTCCCTCTCTCTCCCATCTCCTTTTCATGTGCACCACGATGAAAGTAGAATATCGCCATTGTAAAAGTGCACCACCTCTTTCTATGATTAATTTAGACCTGATATGCCTCGCACTTACTCTCTGCAGATCTTTTTGTTCAAATGGGAGCTATACAAGGCAGATGTGCAGGTGGTGGAGGAGGAGGGAGAAAAAAAAGCTGATTTCCTTGATATTATCGGTTTATACGTAGCTGAGCACAAACGATACATCGGACAAGGCAAGTCAGTAGGCAGTAGGCAGTAGGAAAACATCACATTGATTAGAAGGACATGCAAAGAGAAAGGTGTGCGAGGATAAAAGACAAGACGAAGCGGTGGCGGTGGGTTGTAGAAAAAGTGCAGTGATAGAAAATGGATTGAAAAGATCAGAGAGGGGAGACCTGGGAGGCATTAATTATTGATAGAACAAATGTCTCCCTGACTGACTCCATTTGGACCTGTGTTGTTTCCAGACCGCCTCGGCTGTCAGGGAGACATGGAGACAGGAACCCTCAAAAAGTCATTATAACATGTGTTGTTTAACGATTAATTCATTTTAAATCATATTTTTTATCAAAATAGTATGACAATGGTATACCATATATGAAATTTATTTTTGATCAATCTGTTCATATTTACAGGCTCAATTTGGTATATTTTTCACGATTGTTCCAGCTACCAGCCAGCTACTGTTCATTTGTCACAGCAAGAAGGTTATGGGTTTAATCTTGCGTTTGCCCTTTCTGTGCGGAGTTTGCATGTTTCTTCCCGTGTCTCTGAGCAATCCGGTTTCCCCCATCACCCAAAACATACACCAGGTAAACTGATCTAGAGCATCTGGAGACAGGTCCCTGGACGTTACACTGTGTCGAACACTGAGGCAAACACTGCTCCAGAGAAATTGCCTATAGTGGCTTTGAAGGATGGCTCAAAGGCAAAGGACAAATCTTCCTACAGGGACAATAACGTTAACCTTATCATTGTGTCGTTCTTATGGATACATGTCATGGATACATAAAGCCATAGGGATTTTTACTTCAGCTACACTAAGCTTGTTGCAATTGAGATTTCAAATGTACTAACTATATTACCATGATCCACGGTAGATTATCAACTAAAGCAGATTGAAGCACATTATGTCTTCTTTAAGATCATGTTCAGTGATGAATAGCTCCTAAGTTAGTCCATAATTCGACACAGACATCTGAATGTAGTTCTTTTAAAAAACGTTTATAAACAAGTTTACCACAGATTCATTTAAAATAGGTTGAATTCCTCTCAAACATTGATCACTATTCAAACCGCAGTGTTCAGCAGTAACATGTATAATTCAATAAAATTACAAGAATGCGCCCACACAAGATTCAAAACAACTTATAATCAGGGCCACAACTATGCGGCCGCGTGCATGCGTTCCTCGTGTGAAATGCAAACAGACTGCTGACATAGCCTTATCATTTTCATCATTAAACACCTATCAGACTCAATTAAGGCTGCACAATAATCCTAAACAAGTAATTCTGCTAATGGAGGGAGCGATTGAAGTGTGAGTGCGAGCCTCCGAGTGCTCATTGTATCACTAAACAGAAAGATTAGTTCTAATTAAGCGACAAGCCCAGACTTCACAAGCCCTTATAAGGACAATTTGTCACCAACAACTGGAATCAAGGCACTCAAATCAAACAAAGGG